TTTGCCTGCCCACTGAGCCCCCCCATCACCTCCCAACCACACACGTTGATTACATTGCTCTCCACTGACGCCCCCCCCCCCCCCTTCACATCTGCGCTGACGGGACATCTGTCAGGCTGGCACAGAGGCAGCCGTAGAGGCGGAGAGCCCTGAGCTCTGAGGGGGCGGACTGGGTCGAGCGAGATGCGAGACACCAGTCACTGCTTGCGTAGCTTGTCGTTTGGGCCGAGGTCCGGCTGAGGGCACGGCATCTGGCCGCCAGTCCCGGCAGGTGTGTTCTTGTATAAAAACTGTAGGTCCCTTATATTTAGACACACACACAAATTGTTTTTCAGCTTTATAGCTAAGATCGGAGCTGGCCCTGTCCGTCCCACCTTAAACTACAGAAGGGAGACCAATCAATCCTTCTATTCTAATACTTCTATGTGCCAGTCAGTTTGGAAAATGAATCACACCAGGTGAGAACAAACAAACAGGATTTTGACACAGGGCCCCTTTATGAAACACGCCCACATTATCAGCTAATTGTACAGAACATATTCGGTTTGTATCAAACTAGTGCAAATTAAAAATCAAAGAATGTGGTGTAAATTAAAGGGAACATGCAGGCAGACGCAGACACAGGTTTGGCTTTAGCTCCCTGTTAGAGCTAAGTTAAATGCTTTTTTGAAAGCTATCTGCGAGAGGAGAAAAAGAATAATTCCATAACCACTGCAGCATAAGAATACCAACATGTTTGTTTCTAATTTAAAAATCACAAGACTTCACTACAGCAGCAAAGGCCAATCAAGCTGGAGATGTGGACAGAGATTTTTTTTAGGCTTTTACAAGAATGCTGGTGGTAACAGAAGCTAGCTGGTTGAGGGGGCAGGAGTGGGGCTCTCTGAATCCATATTTAAAAGCTTGTGAGGTCTTTGCTTGCACTGATTTTAAATCTGAAGCAGCCCGCCTCAGAGACACTGGGACTAATGGCTTCTGTGTGTTTGATCCTCTCCTCTTTCTCTCTCCCCCCATCCCACCTAACAGGGAGATGTAAGAGGCTGTTGTATCTTCACCCAATGCAGCAGGCAGGAGACATCTCTCAAGAAAAACAAATCATTAGTTTGGTAAATAAAGAAGGAGTAGAACATTTTTGATAAATAATATTGAATAATGGATGCATACTTTTGTTGTTGTATTGGTGCAAACCCTCGATCGCGTGTTCCGATGTCAGGAAGCTGGCTACATATTTGAAATACAGTGTGACTATAAAGTAAATGCAATTGCTTCAAATCAGAAACAAACACCAAATTCACCAGCTGAGTGCCAAAGGCCACTCGAAACACTATGGCTGTGTTGTTCTTCTGCAAGCACTGTGTGAAACTCCTCATATTATCATGTGTATATGTTTGTAATCGTATAGCTCCAGTGAGCAAAATTACATCTGTCACTTATGCGCGGAAAATGCAATGGAGATATCGTGCATTGAAATGCATGTCGATGGACAGCTGCTCCCTGCGTTATCGGAGTTACTACGCATTCACATCTTGATGTGGTTTTCTGCATGTTGCTGCATAAAAGTAGACCCAATTTCATTTACACACAGATGTGAATTGCTGACATCGGCCATACAGTTATTCACAACCTCTTGTGTGAACAGTACCTCAGCAAACACACACACACACACACACATAATGTATCACGCACAGATACATAAAGAACGTATATACTGTGCAGTTGCTCAACACAAACGGACAATGTTCGCTGACAGTTAATGCGCATGTTGCTCTTGAACTGTTCTAAACACGCACGCATGTGCACACCACGGGGCTCCTCTGTTATCAGTGCTGCTCACATTGGCAAACACACACATGCATTGCCAAGACTGCCAGGCTACGGCCATGGTAATGCAGCCCGTTAGTCTAACAAAGGCTCAGGTCAATGGAGCCTCCGGTGGCTAATTGCTTCAGAGAGATAAGTGAGTTAGAAGGAACGGCTCAGCGAGAGGACGCAGTGAGGGGGGGGGTGAGGAGATGTTAATAAATCCCCCCGTTCACTCCAGCGTCAATATCAGCCCGTCGCAGGCCTGCCGCGAAATGAATATTAAACACAGTTTTGTTTGTTTGCTTGAATTTAATGTTATGGTGTTTTTTGTCACATATGCAATGCTGGGTAAGAGAGTGGAGCTAATGCTATTAATCACACCATCACCGGATGGCTTACCAGCTGCGGTAGCCAATAAATCCACGTGACTGTCTTGCCCCACGCGCTGCAAAAAAATACTGAGTAAAGGGGACTGACTGAATGATAACAGATGCAATTTGACGGAGGTTTAATAATGCATTTTTAAGAGCTTTTGTGCACACATTTGAGTAATTACATGTCACAGAGATTTGATCTGTAGAAGGAAACATTTTGGTTTGAGTTGATTTGTTCCCGCGAAGTGACAGCGACAAGAACAATGACTGCCATCCGGCACTGATTACACTGATCTTCCTCATCAGCTAATCTCCCTCTGACTTATATTAAATCAATGTCCGATTCAGACAGTGGGAGGTTGCAGCCACTTTCCCCGACAGCTATTTTATCTGACTCAAGTTGTCACACATGTTTCTGACTCAGCTGATCTGAAGATTACCATTTTCACTGAACACCAATGCTGAACCCATATTTCCAGTATATGGCTGCAGGCTAATACAAATTGGACTTGACAAATGATGATGCATAAGCCAAGACAACGGTGTTTCTTCTTCATACTTCTCCCTCTCTAGGAACCGATTGTGCGAATTGCCGACAAGTGTGATGATGGACTGTTGGAGGTTTGACGATGCAAGTGGCCTCTCGGGAGCCACCCGGGCTTAGCGCATAAACAAAGACATACACACACACGCGTCCCCTCTCTCAAACACAACAGCTATGTCTCTCTCTTTTTCACTTTAAGGCACCTCGTTGTTCTTCTTTTTTTCCGTCTCTCTCAAGCTGCCCAACATCTCTCATTAGCATGTCTTTCTTCTGCCGGCATGTCCTCCATGCTGTTTGTTTGTCTCTGCAGGTCTTGCTCTCTGGGTCCCACCAGTTGCTAACCCTGTGGAGATGAATGCAACCAGTCTCTATTGGACCTGTGGGAGGTTCGACTCCCCACCGACACATTAAAGACGCATACCCTTTCAGTTAGAAAAAAGAATGTGCCTGTAAGCACAAGCCATACGTTCATAGACATATTCATATATTTTATTTGAAAGCATTTGGTAACAAGGACGTTAAAAGTGTTTTTTTTTACAAAACAGATCACAGAACTGATGCTAAAATTGCATGGTATGTGTATGAATATGGTAATACGAAATCCCTCCAAGCTATCTTGAGGCCTCCTAACAAGTCATCTTCCTTCTCACAGGATGCTTCAGGGCTGGCCGAGGCCGTACAACACTCGTTAACACACATACCATGGTAAACTTTTGCAGATTTTCTTGCTGAATAGCGGTGACCTGAAACGAGCTGTGAATCGGTCCCGGGCAGATCTTATCCGTCCGTCTAAGCATCGTAGGAACTGAGGGGGGAGCCGCAGCGTCAGACCGCAGCCACCAGGGAGCATCGCAGCGCAAATTGTCCTCAAATATTGATTCTGCTGAAGAGAGCAATGTAGGACGGAGGGAGAGAGGCACCAGCCTCATCTACAAAACACGAAGCCTCTAGGGGAGAGATGGAAATAGAGGGGAGGAAGCCCTCATATTCACTTCCTCTGCTGATTCTTGTTACATTACAGGTCATATAGCTGACGCTTTTATCCAAAGCGACTTTGCCCGGGGAGCAATTAGGGGTTAGGTGTCTTGCTCAGGGACACTTGACTTGAGACATGGGGCAGCCGGTACCCGAACCACCAACCTTGCGCCACGACGACGATGATGTTGTCCCTCATTATTATGTTTGTACGTGGGAGTGGTTGGAGCTGTCGGACGGCAGGTACGTTTTTGCGTGAATGTGTGCTTGCGGATGCGGCTGCATAATGTCGTCTTATTCCCGCTCTAAATGGACCACTGCTGAAGGAAAGAGGGCATTGCGGGGCGACTGGCCTAACTGCAGCACTGCACCGCGGGCCTAAAAATATTCCATGTCAGTGGTCCCGAGAGAAGCCCGGTGCTATCCGAGCCTCTCAGTAATGAGAGAGTGGAGCTGCCTGCCACTGGTAGCCCTGCTGTCCCCCAGATCCCTCTGGCTCACGGCTCTCGCACCGCAGCTGGAGAGGCAGCAGCTCAAGCTCCCACAGATTTATCCTAGCGCACAAAGCAGCATGTCTGAAAGCAGAGGCTCGCATTCGCCCCCCCCCCCCCGCCCGCCCCCCGGGCAAGCTAACCCCTGGGCACACTGACCCTACACATTCACATATCAGAGAGGCAGACAGATGCAGTTTGCGAAAAAACGACGCAGCACTTGCATGTGTGTCCACAGGAGGAAAAAAAAAAGAAAGCATGAAACAGCAAACCGGCACAAACGGCTGAGAAAAGAATAACTACGGCATGTGAAAACTACTTCAACTGTGCCATCTATTGTATTTCATGCAATGTTGCACGGAAGAAAGAGAGAGAGAGGTGGGCACAAGAGAGCGACAGAAGGGTTCAAAGAAGAGGCGACGGTGAGCAGAAGAATGGATGGAGATAATTGAGAGATTTAAGGTGGTTGTTGGGGCCGCTACGTTATTGTACTCTGCGCAGTAATGATCGAGCCCTGTGGGAGGAAAAACATGTTTGCAAAGGGATGGCTGAACTGCCATTATGGATGGTAATTATTTCAGTATATCTTACTGAAGGGTTGATGTGAAGTGTGCAGGGGGAGGGGGTGCTTCTGGCGGCAATCAATAGGCAATGTGCGCACAAAAACACATTGCATTCCCAAATAAACGTAATTAAAAATAGCCCTATTCATAGGATTGTTTTGTGTTTACAGTGCCTTTGCAAATATCAAACGTGAATATTACCAGGGAGGCAGCAGAGAGCATTCCAAATAAACAACATAAAGACAATTAGTCCTTCTTGTTTGAACATTTTATGGGCCTTCTTTTAACAGTTAACATAAGAGATGTCACAGATTGAATATAATAGATCAAAGGTATATAACTTTGAAGGCTGAGCTCAGAAATGTTTCTGGGCAAAAATGAGACGAATGAATCACACTTTGCTAGTTCATATTGTGTCAAGCTTTACGTAAGTAAGGCTCTAAAGTCAGAGCCATTTTGAACCAATTACTACTCAGGAATAATGGGGCGTGATATATATTTATATATTTTTACCTACTCCAAGTGTTAAGACATTTTACAAAATGCTCACCTCCAGTTCCATGTGACATCCACAGCAAAAAATGGGAGATATCTAGAAAAACACAAAAACATTTCCCCGTCTTCAACTAGTGCAAATATCTTACATGAATTTAAATATGCCATTATGATCCTACATTCCTAATTAGAACTGCAAAGTTACTCCTGTAAAGCAGTGTTCATGGTCGTGACTTGACCAATTACAGCAATTTGATGCTAATTTGCTAATTGCTAGTTATCAGCTGCTATCATCTCCATTGTCTCCAGTACAAGCTCTACATATTGACCGCCAGTTCGTCCAATGTGTCCAGCCAGACTCAAAGCACAGCTTTTAGTTCACATCTCAAAATCCACAAATGCTTTGTTGAAATATATACTTTGAAATGCGTAATCACTCTTTAAAATCAGCCACCTCTTGTAATCAGTCCACATTTTGTCCACTATTGCAAAATAAGAATCCATTGGTGTCCAGATATACCCTGGGTTTCCATGATTGTAGTCCATTGTTCTCAACACACAGCATACTGTGCAAGCTGTACATGTGGCTCCATGTAGCCGAGAGTACATAGTTTGTGATGAGTGCATTTTATTCCATTGTTTTGTGATGGATGGCCTGACGGTGTCCTTTCCTTTATTATTCCCCCCATCGTGCAGCGAATATGTGTGAGTCATCCAGCATGTTCACATGGAGAGTTTCAGGTTTCCTCGTGGCTCATTGTCTCTCTTGCTATCGTGTGACCTAAAAAAGAGAAAATATCACAGATAAGACAGGAGGATCAGTGTCACAAAGAAATGTAATTACATACAAGTGTCCCACTTCACTGCCAGTGAATGAATGTTCCCATTAGTAAGAGTCAATCAGAGGTCATGGGTGAATATTCCAGACTTTCCGACTAGGATTGAAAATGTCTCTTTGCCGTCTGACTGTTTCCAGGAACCAACAGTGTCTTGGCTGCTCGAGCTGGATTTCACATGTCTGGGAGCTGTAATAGTTTGTTTACACCTAGTGTGGAAAACATATAATTGGAGATGTACAGAGGTTGCTTTCCATCAACAAACCAAAAGAGATGTGCTCGTGTATTGAAAATGTCATTATAGTCATGAGAATGCTGACCATTCGGAGAACATTTCACCATAAATCCAGCAATATGAAATGGGACTTGTGAGGATATGTGTCTGATGTCTTTGCTCAACAGTGTTGTGGTTTCTCTGTCAGGCTTCTTTCCACAGCACTCCTACGCTGTGTGGGAGGCAAAGAGATGGACACAGACAGATCATCATGGTGAATGGGATGCTGAGATGGTGAAAGGAGGTCATGGGTAGAAAGCGAGACGCAGGATAAAGAAGAGAGACACAAAGGGAGCAGGAGAGCAGGGCCGCGCGCACAGTTGCCAGGGAATCGTTGTCTCATTGCAACCATCTTCAGTGACATCTGCAACCAAGTTTCCAAATAACTGCTCCCCGGTCAGCAGGGAGGCACCTTGCGAATGCACAATTAATGCCCACCGATGCCGTCCGCCGTTGGCTCCTCATTTCTCTCTCACCTGAGCGACTAGTCAGAAAGGGTGGGAGACAAAAGGAAGAAGGAGGAGAGAGATGGCACCATGCAACAGAATGAGGATAATTGCACCTAGCAGTCCCAGAGTTGGTGTTAGGCAAGAGGGTCGTTAATTCCACTGCCTATTACTGAGCCCAGCGGTGCCTCTGTTCCTCAGTCCATCCCACTCACCAATTTAATTATGATTCTTAATTGTAAAGCCTCTGCGGAAGGGCCCAGCTTTAATGCATTCTAATGAACGCGACAGATGTTGCGCTGTTACGCCATCTCCCGAGCAATTACTCTTATGGCGCCGGCGCCGCTTTCCTCACAAATGTTTATTTTTTTTATGTTTCACCTGTAAACAAACTGCACCTGCTCAGTCTCACGACAAACACATGCACACACACACACACACACACACACACAGCCCAGCAGTCAACCCCGCAAATTAACTTTCACACTTCAACGGCTTACAAAGGGCCATGAAGGACTTTCATTTAAATCACTTTGTCTCATCTAGACAGTGTCAGTTTACATGGAATCACACACTGGTGTTCTGGGGTACAGAGTGTATACAGGTCCGGTGTTTTGCTCATCAGTTTATTGTCAGCCTCGCCAGAGGAGACACGGTTACAGCAGATTAACAAATAAGGTTCACTGGGGGAGCTTGCTTGTTGATTAGCTCCGTATCCGTGTCTTCCTTCATTTTTATTGACGTGAGAAACTAGTGCTTAGATTTCATTACACTCATTTGTGGGCATCTTGAAGATCAAAAAAAACCTTTGTTTATAAGATTAGTTTGCTCGGGTGGCACTTCTTCTTGTGCAGTGAGATACAGGATGAAAAACATCATTGAGGGGCAGCAAGTTAAAAAAAATGTTTCCCAAAAGTGATTAATGCAAGATGTTCCACGGGTAATAAAAGTAATCAATTTGATAGAAGATCAAGGCAAATTATTCATTATAACAATAACAATGACAATATCAGTCATATTGTTATTTGTACTTTCTGTCGATCTTATGTTTCTAAATTGGCTTTTTGAAATGAACACTTGATGTGAACACAGATTATTTACTTTTTTGTTGCTTAGAAATAAGAAGTTATCAAAGACTGCAGTAATTTAATTCAGCCGGAAGGTGATACTGTGCATATATTTAAAAAAAACTAGAACAGGCAAAATTAAAACAGAAAGGAGCTTCAGAATGTGCGAAATGACATGTGCATCCAATGTACGGACAATGGATCAGTGTTGAAAATGACACTTCTAGACAGACGTAGGGAGAAAGAGAGACAGGCATGCAAACACTTTATACAACTAAGCAAGCTCAGACAGTCAAGAAAGTCATTCTTCTCACCTTGGTGGTTTTGACTTTATTGCCAGTGCTGCAGGACCAGCCAGTCAGGTCCGGCAGGACCTTACACTCCTCTCCGTCCATACACGGGTGCATCTGGCACCACCACTTCTGGACTACGATGGAGGCTGCAGCAGGAGATGGAGGTTGAGAGGCAGAGAAAGACAGCGGGTTAATAAATAGATTTTATGATGTAATAAAAAACACTGACATTAACTTAAACTAGAGAAAGAATAAAGGGGTATATGCAAAACAAACAAATATTATTCACTGTGGACAATAATTAGCCATTACCTACACAAGAACTCTGTAAGGTAATGATTTACTTCATATCCACAGTCAACATGAACTATTATTGTCCATAATAACAAGCATTCACATTCGCTGTCCGTGGTGCTGATCCTATAACTGGGACTGCACTGGAACCAGCAACATAGAAAGCACTTGTGACAAACCACCCACAGGCTTTATCATCTGTAATATGATTAGTGCAAGAAGCTAAACTGTAAAGCAGTTACCTTTTTTCATTTTAATCAGATTAATGTAATCCCTCAACATGGGATCTTAAAGCCTGTGCTGAATGGTTGAATCTGGCAACCACAGGAGAGCAAAATGAAAGAAGGTAGAAGTGGGGAATACGACGCCTGTGTCGTACCGAGGCAGCGATGACTGACAAGTCATTAAACCGTCCTGGATGAACCAATCAGATGCTGCTGATGTTTTGACAGAGCAGCAAAGATCTTTGAAAAAAGAGTCAGAGGTGGCTTTGTTTGTATTTTGTCATCTGTGCCGATGTGTGAGTCACCTCTGATAGTTTAAAAGAAAATGACTAATTGAACTTCCCTTTTGTTTCTAATACAATCAGCAAAAAACAAGGCATATTTAGACAACGAGCTAATATTCCAAATGTGGAATGCAGAGGGCAAGAACAAGATTGTGATGAAGCAATGCTATGAATTATAAATTAGCTTTCTCTGATTATTTGAAGCAAAAATACTAATGTTTGCAATCTATTGTATTATTTTTTAAAGCATTAACGCTGTTTCGGAAACTCGTCTTTCTTGCAATACAAAATAGGAAAAGGAGATTTTTCAGTCGGATTTCTTATTCAGTAATGATTTAAAACAAACTTCCCTCTTTCCATCTGTCTAGAAAGAGGAAAAAACAACAACTCAGCTTCAGAACTTGGCATAATCTACAATGAATCCAGTGCTAAAACCCAAAGTCTTCGTAGCTGACTCTTCCAGATCATCTGACCCAGTGTCTCAACAGCCTGATGGCTGGAAATAACTCCTCCTCTCCCAACTCATCATCCACCCATCCTCCAACTTCATTTAACTGGATTGATGGATTGAAATTACGATCAGTGAAAACTACTGCTTCTGACAATGGGAGAATTTTAGGGGATATTGGCAGGAGAAAGGTCTCTCAATTGCGTACTGCTCAAGAACATAGAAAAATCTTTTCAAGATTCATGTAGGAAGAAAAACTGCCTCTGAGAAATTGAGGGACACGGGAGGAAGACAAGGCTAAAGAAAAGATGTTCACCAAGAAAACACGTCTTTGTGTTGCGGAGATGAGCAGCGAGAGGAACACAGAGAGACGTCCTCAGACGAGTGAAGGCCGTCTGAGGACGACCATGCCCGAGTTCAAAAGAGAAAAGAGCAGATTAAACATATGAGCAGAGGGAAGCTTAGTGAAGAACTGAAGCTGTGGGGAAATTGGCAGCACGAATGCAACTGCAGAGACAGGAAGACACATTTTGGGAGAAGCAGGAAGTGAACATAAAGAACTCGCAGCCATCACGGGGCGCAGTGTTGAACACACTCCTATGATGCATGAGCTCAGTGGCAGTAAACGGTTCTAAAAACCAATGGCTGTGTAATGCTCGTTAATGTGGCCATTATGGTGTTGACGACGGTACTTTGCACTGCAAGAGCGTTAATGGGCATGGCCTGTGAGTGCTATTATGGAGTTAAGAGTTCCCTTCAGTTTATCTCATGCTGAACTGGGAAGGCTGCGCGAGCACGACACAAAAGCACCTGCCTGTCAAGTCAGAAAATGGACTTGTTTCGGTTCAAGGCCTGTGATGTAATCAATTGTTCAGATGTTTTGGCAGCACTCAAAGACAGGTGTCAACAGGTCATCAATAAAAAGACTACCCGGTGTGCGCTGTGGTTAATTCTGAGCATTGTGTTTTATGAAGAGTAAAATGGGAAGATCAATTGCACTCCGTACTGGTGATGGAAAGTTCAGGTCTTTGAATCGGGGGGGGGGGGGGTTGCTCACCATTTTATAGCTAATTCCCTGGCCTAAATACCTCCACTGCAAACACGTATCTTATTCTCATGTAGGTTAGTGCATGTAAACCAGCAGATACTAAATTATAAGTATCTGCATTAAAATAATGTATCATGACAGTTTGGATGATTGGAACACTTAATTATGACAGCAAACAAGTACGCTGCACTGAACTGTAAGTAAAGTGCAAGAAAGTTAAAATAACGAAACCTGTAATGAGGCTCATACAGAGACCCAGTGGGGAAATGAACAAAACAGTCCCGATGCGCGGCCACGAGAAAATGAACAAATCTCTCTTCGAGAGGACTCGTTACTCCCGAGTCCTTGTAAGGATTCATTCAAAATGAACAAATCTTCCACAAACGACACATCACTACTCTACGTACACTATGTGCGGTATAAAGCCACCTCCATCAGCCGGTTGACTCTGAGCAAAGGGCATCAAACCCACACAGTAGCACCTCTAAAGCTCCCCAATTAAGATCTAGCTAACAATAAAACAAAGTGTGAAATTGACACATCGCAGTTAACAATGAGAGGGGGGGTGACGGGGTGTGAAATCCCAACTTCTCATTTACGGAGACCGCCACAACTCATACGCACAAGTTGTTAATCATCCTCAACTGTTGGCCAGCAGTAACACATTATAGGCTCAATTGCTTTGAAGTGATTGACGTTGATGGCTTTACATTAAAAGTACGTTTCCTCACACTTTTTTTTGAAAGAGGATGCATATTCTCCAGATGAAATTGTGTGTAACAACCTCACAGCCTGCTCTGGTCTAATTGCCTCATCCTCATTAAGAGTCTACATTTAAATTCCCAAAAGGTGAATATGCTAATTAAAACAGGTCTACAGCTCGGGCATACATTTCATCACAGTTACTGTTGGCTCATTACAACAGAATCTGCTCCCAAAATGGCTCTCTTTAAAGTTCTCTCTCAAACTTTTAGAGCGGCATCATCTGAAGGGGGGGGGGGGAACCTCTAGACGGAGCTTTGCTCAAGAAGCAGGTGATTAGGCAACAAGAGGGACTGAGGCTATGCTGCTCCCCAGGTTCCCGTCTAGTCTCCGGGGCTTTCCAAATTAGATTTCATGCTACGAGGACGCCCACAGCTCCGTCTCTCCTCCTGCGGATCACGTCAATCTCACGCAACACCTGATGAACGTCGCTCATACCTTCTGACCAGAAGGTGGTCAGAAGGTGGCCCGGAGGAGCATTCATCCAAACACAGCCTCTGTCCGCTTCTCCCTGCCACGGCACCGGATTCGTCATTGTAATGTTTGTGACATCAAGTGGACAACGTTGAAACTGCAGGTCCCCACAGCCACATGTTTGTTCTCTTGTCTGCACAAATAATTGGTGCAATGTTAAGACCCCTGTGACCAAAGATACGCCTGCGTGCTAAACTGTTTTGACACTTATGTATGTGCAATGCCTGCTGGTTGTTGCCCAATCAACACTTTCAGAATGCCTGAGCTGTAAAACATAAGTAATATCATCACTTTGGGTAGAAATAAAGGAGCAAAATCAAGTCACACCATATTATTATGGAAAGACATCCAGCAGTCTTAAACCAATCTGTTTTACCGGTCTTTGTAAAATAGTACGATTCAATCTGTGAATATTCATAATCAACATAACGTTTTGTGACATTAGATCAGCCCACGTCCTCCATCTCAAGTAACGTGATTAAATACGCCACCAACTATTCGTTCATATTCAAAGAGACCTCCTTCAACCTCAACCCTACCGCGTAATGTCACAAGGTAAGAAAATGGGATTTGATTTTTTTTTCTCGATTCACTTAGTGGATTGTTTCCTTTGTTTGATGTAAGGCTGGCCATACTAACACAATACCTGCACTCAGGCCAGTGCCTGCTAGAGTGCCCATTAATACTTCACGAAGGCACTCCCGGAGATCACTCTACGGAGCAACACGTGCTTCAAAGGGGAGTTTCCTTTTACTTTGCATGTGCGCATGTTGTGCGCATTTCTAATCATTTGTGCTTTTTGTGTGTGTACATGTATCTCGCATTAAGTGTCAACCTTAAAAGCCCAAATCACAAGCAGGCCGACGCCCTCGCTCCCACCGGGCCGTTGCTATTTAACGGGACGTTGATGCTCACACACAAACACACACATACACATCCATCGGGGACGGACCCGGAGGTATGGATACCCTCAGGCATTGTAACTGTTCCACTCAGTGATCCTGGAGTGCTGAAGCAGGTAGAGAGAGGCATCCATCTCTTTCTACGGTGATTTAGTAACACACTGTATCTCTGTTTCCAGGGCTCACACAGACGTGCCAGCGCAGCCAGGTAGGCATGACGAGAGAACACAGGCAGGAAAAACGGTGTGAAGAAAGTGTGATAAAAGGATGCACAGGGAATAGTCGCCCAACGCCTGAACAGAATGGCAAAATGACAAAAAGCGTGATATTATAGAGCAGATTTTACAGTTAACAACAGCACGATGGTGTGTATTAAAGCACTGAACTAGATTCCTCTGCCAGTCGTTAAAACCCAGTTTGTCCGTCGCAGAACCCAGCAAATCACACACCTAAATACATGCACTCGTCAATGGTTTGTATCTCGTCGCTGTGCTCCATCTTTCTACACCACCACATTTAAATGATTTAAAGTCTGATTTCAACTGATGCTCAGAAACCTCTGAGACACACGTAGATGCCCAGTTGGTATGTTAAGTATAGCGCTGCCATTTCAAACATTCAGAGCAAATTGTGCCAGGTATTACTTTGTAGATGAAAGCAGAATAATTGTTAAAGGATAAACTACCAAGCAGTGTATAAAGCACCTTCATTTATTCCTGCATGTATCAGCTACAACACTACATGTACGCATATTTCTAGCGCTACATGAGTAGCATTATGTTTGAATTATAAAGTATTTTATTCATTATTGTACTGTTAATGACATTTGGTACAGAATAAGAGTCTTTTTATTCGGACATTCTGCAATGTTTGGCAAAACGGAGCGAGGGGTTACAACCTATATACTTTATTTGAGAGTAGTTTTTGACTTAGAAAAGACTTAAACCAACAAGTTCCTAACCAGCAGTGTGAGCCAAACTAAATTTGACAGAACCTGAGTGCAACTGCAGCAAAAATAAAAACACGTTTTCTCTGCACTCAAACAAGCTATTTCTCCAAATGGGAAATCTATGAGAGACACACAAACACGTGGACCAAATACATTTCTCCTGTGAAATATTCCTGAAATAGATCAACCTCCTGACATCTATTTATTATCAATTGTTCGTCCAAAAACCCATTACATTCAGATTTAGACTTTTCCAAATCAACCCACAATTGGCAGCACTAACTCTTTCCGCGCTCCAATGATTCAGATACAGAGCGCAGACAAAAAAGAGAAGAAGTCTATTGCGTGATTAAAAATAAAAGGAAAAGAAAATTGTGAGGAGTAAAGTTTGCTTGAAAAAGTTAGTCTCACAGTAATGGGCCCCACCATGCGGCAGCCAGTAATGGGACCGGCGACCATTTACTCCTCTTTCAAGCCGGCATTAATAATGTAACTCCATTTACGCTGTGGCTTTTCTACAAAGGTGGCTTCAGAGAGGGGTTTGTTCCAACAGCGCTCAAGCCTACAAGGTGAGAGTGGAATGCGTGCATCTGTGTTTGTGTGTGTGTGTGTATGACAGTGTTGGATGAGGTGATATTTTTTGTATCTGTGAACTCGGAGGTCAGGCATGACTCACCCGATGAATGCTGCTGAGCGCTGGGTTTTGGAAGTGAGAGGCGGCGTGTGACACAGAGGGGAGATCCAAGTAGGAAATTAGAAAAACCTCATGAGAAGTGTGATGGAAGAACCAAGCTGTTTGTGTGTGAGAAAATGTGAGAGGGTGGACGTGCGAATGTGACTGAAACCATCAAAAACAATCGTTCAATAACACTTAGTAACACATTAATAACCCAGTAATAAGTATTAACTTGTCGTCAGTGTAATTCCGTCCTCTCTACCAACTCTTTAAGGAGAAGTTAACTAACAAAAGCAGCGCACCAAGGCAATGCATTTTCTGAGAGGTTGGCAAAGCATCACATGATTCCTAATTTATCCCAAGTTTCATTACAAAGCCAATCATCTTTGCTATGGTTGCCCGGTTTTATCATTATCAACAATTGTTCCCATTTAGGAACTCATCAAAGAGGTTAAACAACAAATCTACTTCGTTATCGGGTGAAAATAGTACTGAAATGATCTAGCAAGTAGTCTGTGACTGAGTCATTTGAATGGGAAAAGCACCGTCTACTGGCCACACGCAAGAATAGCAACTCACTGGATGTGGGCAGTACGCTGGATCGGTAGTTGTGAATACTAAATATTGAAGGTGCTTGGACAGATAGAGAATATTCCTGCACCACAGGAAGTCAGAGGTGATCCACACTAAGATACAAACACATGCTAGTTTCATTGGAAAGAAATGAATGCAACTGAAAAACAAGAATGAATGAAAATTAATTGTTGGGCTTTGAGTTGTGGTGACGCAGGCCCCTTTTCAACACACACGCAAAAAAACACATTTAATATTATTTCATCAGCTTGATGTTTCCCGAGTTTTCCTTAATTTATGAGAAATTCTAGTGAACCTGTTTTATACTTAATGACGTTGTCTATGTCTGTGATTAACGTTGACAGTACTTTTTATCAACACTACCTCACCCGAATCCTGATTAAATCTATTTGGATTCATGTTACAGTTTTATAACAGTTTTGTAGAAGTGTAACGGGGAGTTAAGCCTCAAAAAACAAGGCGTAAATGTCAAAACTGATGTAAAACTGAAAGAATAGAATATTCATTTATAACAACAATAGCTATTTTGTTACTTTAATAAACATGCAGGTTGTGGCAAAGAGAAATCTTACCACTAAATACTCAAGATTTTCAGTTTAAAAAGGTTTTTACAGCAGAAGGGTCTGTGGGATCATACAAGAAGCACTTAAATCCTCACCAAAACAATTTCTCAAAACATTTTGTGATCTAAATTGCGGCACTTAAACCGTACTTATAATGGCACTTATCTATAGCAAATTGTAAATTGGCTTATTTGATAAAAGTGCACTTTCTTGTTCTGAGTATGTATCCCTATGGTTGAATGCACTTGCACAGCAAATTGTAAGTCACTTTGGATGAAAGCGTCAGCTAAATGACATGTAAAGTAATGTAATAATGTAATGTGATCATCCAGCTAAATAAGGCCTTCTTATTACTGTGCTAAGTTAAATCTGGTGCAATGACTTTTTTGTTTTGCTGTGTAATTTTGATAATTACCACATCATTAAATTACAGCATTAGCATTTTTTTGTACCCAATACCGTATTTGCATAGAAAGAAAAAAAAACTGCCATTCTGATGAAGTTCGAGAACAAGTATAACTCCATCTTTTCCCACACAACTCCTCAAAGTCTCTATTGGTATTGGGCCATTAGTCATTCAGCTCTGTGCGAGCGTGGACTCGGCGTCCGACCCCACCGGCTGACCTCAACAGTTTAAATAACCCCGGTGCTTCGACAGATGCGCTTGCTCGCCTCACGTAGGAGAAAACGATGTATTCTCCTCTGCTAGGGGGCTAATACAGCGTGATAGGATCGCGTCGGGCGACACGGTGTGTGTGTGTGTGGGCGTTTGTGATCTCGGCGGAGCCACTGCGGATGATAGGGGTCAGTGACACTGCTTGTTTTCTTGCTGGGCACGAGCTCGCAGAGCGGACAGACGGGTGCAACAAAGGTTTATGAAAACGACCAGCGGCTTTCCTCCGTCCATCATCGCTGCACACACACACACACACACACACACACACACACACACACACACACACACACACACACAGACAGACACACACACACAGACAGACACACTGATGAGTATGCTTATAGTGTATGTGTGAGCTAAAAAGTATCTCTGCCATACATTTGTCATGTTCTTTATAATTATTTACATCATAATAATAATAAGTTTATTTTCTTAGTTATTTTTACCTACATGCCAATGCTTGGCCTTTTAGTAAATTATTTGGATCCCTATGATTTTCTACAGAGTGGACTGGTCTTCCTCGGCTCAAACTCTCATTATGTCTTGATATCAAAAGAAAATACTCCCTCCCCACCGTTGTGTGCTCAAGTGACCCGTTTAGATATGAGACGGAATGCTGTCCCAAATAAAATCAGGCCTTTTAATCTGCAGTTTGAATTTCCAGTCTTGGCCGACAGCTGTTGTATTTTTGCTTTTCCTTTCATACAGCACGGGGGAATACGGAGGCCAGCAGACACTGGTGGCGGTGCTTCTATCAGTGACTTTAACCTGTTAGACAATCTCTTTGGGATGTGATGAACCAATAAAACATACTAATTAACTTATTTTCAAAAAAGCATATTAGTATCGCAATGGTGGACTTTTATTCATTGTGTCAATTTCAAGCCGCCTATTTTCTTGGCGCTCCGTGTTTAGCCATTATTTTTGTTGTTCCTTCCTTCTGATATTTGTCCATCCCCCCCCCCCCCCCCCCCTCCTTGTGGGATTCTTTATTGTGTGGCTTGGATAAGAAGGACAGAAAGACCAGGTGTTATTTTTCCATCAGCGTTACATGTTTTCGACCAGCTTTAAAGGTTTAGCTCTGTTCAAGAAGAAGAGCGAAGAAGAAGGTCCTGCTATTTGGTGCCATGAGAAAATCAATTTCCACACAGGAATCTAACCTGGCGGCAATTCAAAATAAGGTGCAACCTATTAATCTTTCCCGTGGTGGACTCATTAATTAATGTCGTACTGACTCGGGTAATGATTTGTTTTATGTGAGAAGATCCATGTTGCAAATTTAATGATGCAAGAAGATTAAAAACATTTTCAGCCTCTTTGACCCAGTGAGATTCGGCAGAGCGTTGATCATCACAAAAACATGTGGTTCAGCCAAGCAAAGTCCAACCATACAAACAACTAATTCAGAATTCTTGTCATAATGGAATCGAATGGATAATAAAAACGCAGAACTGTCCTGCTGGAGAATTTGGTGGGAAACGTGTGAGAAATAATACACTAGACAGCTCCATTATTTCTACTTGATAAAATGCTTGTCAACTAGAAAAACACAATATTTGCGTTTGAATATTGAATTTTGTCATTTGTTGAACTGCATTGCTTTAATGAAATGTTGGAACAGAACATACAGTATGTTTTCACACAGTGTGGAGCGTCACCATTGCTACTTAGGGGTGAATTTAATCAATAATGAATTGTTAAAGCACTCAAGTTATAGTATTTGGTGCAACTGCAGCTGACCAACTTGTGGGTTGATAAAGTCATTGTTAGTGATCTGTCCAAAGGGGTAAAATTGTCCTTCAAAACACAGCATAGCTCTGTTTTTTAACAATAGTTTTGATAAATTACGACAACTTCTGATATTTCGTTCTCAAACACGCATAAAAAACTGACATGAGGAACACACGTGTGCACCCTATATTGGTGATGTGTGCGTTTGCACTGTGGGAAATGTCCGGATTGTGGGGCTGCAAATTCAAACACCTGATATCTTTCGTTTTTACCTTCCACACAGGAGGGTCTTGCTCTGGTGGTGCCAGCTACCTGCCCGGGGAAACAGGAACACTTGACGGTTTGAGAGCGCTCCTCGATCTTATTCTTATTACAGCAGCGATGGTTGGCCACCACCTCACATGTTCCTTGCTTCACCTGGTATGAGACTGAGAGAGAGAGAGACAGAGAGACAAATGAGTGTTGGGGGGAAATATTTACTAGATATTCACAGACTTATTTGGGTCTTGACAGTTTGTTGCTGCAAAAAAATTGGCATTAAACGCAAATATATTTGTGCCGCAAATACCAATCAAATATACACCACAGCAGATTATCTGAGGATTAACAAATCTGATGAATGATTTACTTTTGCATAAATTCCCCAATATATTCCAGTCTTTGATTCATAAGTAAACACTCCTCAGTGATGATTTGCTTTTATTCTCAGCACAGTGGCCTCATTAACTCATTAACAGACGTCCCTCTGTTGTCATTGTGTGCAACATGCAGAAAAAAAATAGTTTCTTTTGACTCCTTTCAGACATAATACACCACTTGAGCTAAGCAAAGAACAGACATTCATACATTAAGATTCGTGTGGTAGAACAAACCACTAGTAGGACACATTGTGGTTTGGATCCATTAATGCGTATTTTTATTTATGAGTGTGTGTCTACATATACAATATCTCTGTGTTTGTGCGTGTGTGTGTTTGTGTGTATCGACTACTGCACGTTTGCACCCGCTATTCAAACTTCTGCCCATTTTTTGTTTCTATGCGCGTGTGTGTGTGTTTTGTGTGTCTCTCAAAGCTATGATTTGAGCGAGGATAATCGCTTTTCAGCTGACACCTCCAACACACAAACTGCGTTTAATCTTCCATGATTATCTCCACACTTCCCTTGGGACCTTGTCCTGGTTAATTATCATAGCCTCTTGACAGTAATGGGATAGAGGGGCACGTGTAAGTACATTTGCACCCAAAGCTTTCCAGCTAGAAACAAAATGATTGTATGTGTGACGATACTGAAACACTGAGCTTTCCTGTGGGAACGGTGGTGTATGCAGCAGTCTATACCTGATCATCGTTGCATCTGCATGTGTTGCAGTTTGTTGATGCTCGGTACAACAAGGATGCTACGAGCACAACGCGTGAGTGTTGTTCAGAGGTGTTCACGCAATTATGTCCATGCATTTTTTTTACTCAGCACATTAAACGCACTCGTCTAATAAGAAGAGGGCTTTGTGGCCACCTGAAGCTAAATCTGCCGGTCACACATGTTAGGGGGACCTGAATAATCTTTGCTTATGGCTCCTGAACAGATTCCAGCTGCCTTATCTCGGCTCTCAGCGCTTGTTGTGCACTCCTGAGCGTCTCTGGTACCGTTTCCCGAGCACAGCGAGGCCCGCTGGCGACATTACTACCTATAAGCCTCTTTACGGCTCTGGAAAAAAAAACGTGGTTATACTGTACCATAAGCCCAGATTTCGTTTATGTACGTGACTTTACCCAGACTCACAAACTTTTCATGCTCGGATGAATGAGCTTTTCAGGGTAGACACACAGCGGCCAGCGCGGCGCGCACACACTCAGTCGAGGGTTCCATTTCTGCAGGCCATGGCCCCTCTCATCCTTTCTGATTTAAAGTTTGTTTGTTCTCTTCTCCAGAGAGCCCCATCAATGATCCCGGGCTCTCCGAGGGCGCCCCCGCGCTATCATCCCTCCACTTTCATTTCCCTCACTCCTCTGTCTCAGGCTCTCCTGAGGCCGGATTACCGCCGCGCACACACAAACACGTGGCCCACCGATCAAAATAAGGACTTTAACAAAATTGAAACAAACTCAATGGGTCGAGAACCATCGGCGCCGTGGTAATCATAACCGTAATAATCGCAATTAGAGCGCAGAGTGACAATAAAAAACTAAGGATGTGTCGTTTAAAAACAGCCGAGTTGCTTTTCTCTCATTCCGACTCGTGCCCTCATTATTATTAATCTCTATCGAAAATCCCCGTGCAGAGAGGTGAATGGGTAAGACCGGCCAATTGTCTGCCCCCCATCTCACAAATAGGCAGCTTGTTAGCGAGAAAGAAGGAGAAATGGTAGAGGGAGGAGGAGAAGCAGTGTCACTGGCAGCAGAGAGAAGAAAGCGCCGCTCGTCTCCTGCTAGCATAATGAGGTCAGAGGGTTCGCAGGTCTCTTCTCTTTATTGCTTATCAAACCTGGGCCGGGCCTGTTTTGTAATTCAAAGCCGTAAAGCTATGAGTATGTGTGTGTGAGCAGTGCAGGATAAACCAACCTGAACTTGATTTAGGCTCCTATTTTGTATTTGTCCATCTGTGTATGCTTATTTATATCTAACTTGAGTGGGTATAGTTCAAGCTGGTGTAACGTATTTGAGGTGACCAGGCTGAAGGGCCTCCGGTGGGGTTTTATTCTGGTTTAAAGCCGCAGCTTAACGGAAATAAAGAGAGCTGAAGGGGCTTTTTAAGCAAATGTTTTAAAGGCCTTTCTTTCATTGTCCGTTTCAAAAGAACTCAAAACAACTTCACTGGGTTTCAGATGTGGTCTGTGTGTCCTTAATCAAAGAGGACACCGCGTGCGAGAGACCGTTCTTTACAGTGATGACGATCCGTTGCTTCATAACGATCATTAGTTGAAATAAAAATCCTGTACAAAATACGGCCTTTTCTTCCCTGAGACAAAATATTTCAGAAACATCATCACACGACTTCACACGTGATGGATGATGACAATCTGGATAACGAGTTTCCCTCGAAAAGATTTTTATCGGCCTAAAAACCCCTAAGTAAATCACGCCATGCAGATGAGGGGGCTGTAAAAGACGGTGGGTTGTGCGACAGTCCACTTTCCTGTGCGTGAGGCTGTTGCTTGTGTGTGAGTGCAGACTTGTTCTTGTGTGCATCTTAAAGCCCCAACCAATTAGAGTCATTTCCTCAGACCTCCACCGCACTCAAAATATAGATTTAACTAACCTCAGAAAATAAAACTATTAATTTATTAAAAATAAAAGTATTAATCATATCATGTGTATTTGGTTTGAACTGCCTCACAGGGGAAAGCGATGGTCGGCTGCCGTGCGCTGGTTCGATGTGATGTCACATGAACGTGAGCAGAGAATAAATTACCCCTTGAGTAGAAGTCTGAGCTACATTAGTGTGTGTGTGCATGAATTTACTGTATATGTCTGACTATTTGAGCGTGGGCTTGTTTCGAAGCAGAAATGTACATCCACGGTGTCAATAGAGGTTAGACACATACAGAGATTGAGGCCAAAATCTATTCAGTGTGGGAGAAGTGAACTCAAAACTACTCATTGTGCCAAAAGGACATTTTCAAAGATTTTAGTGGTTCATAGTTTGGCTGAAAACACTTTCCATGTCTTTATATACCACCTAAAAATGGTGTTCTGAAAATGGGAAAGGGAGTTTGTCAAAAATATCTTAAACAATACAGGACAGCAACTCCCACCTCATGGGTTCATGCCAAACTTAAAGCCTTAAAGGACTTAAATTATACTCGGCTGACAGTTGAAGTGAAGTTTAAAAAGTTAACACCAGTTCATCCAATTCATAGTTATGCACGCCTGCTTTTTACCTGAGAAATTGGCCAAACTATACTTACTAACTTGCAACTAACATTACAATTGCAATTGACCAGATCGCTTCTTTATTTTACCACAAAACCTACATATTTTTCCATGTATTCCATATGTTTGTTGTGTAATATTATGCACAGATGTGGCTGGATTTCATCTGGAACCAGGAACATGCCAATGCCAATGATATGTTACAAGGAATTTGACGTGGCGGCTTTTGAATAACATCAGAAAGTAGACAATGAACAACAAGACAGATAAGATAACATGGCTTGTTCAATTTACAAATGTAGGGTCTCTCCCTAACCCAAATGTTCAATCAACAAGGACTATAGGAGCCTAAAGTAACAGGAGTAGGTCTGTGCATTGGCACAGCATGCCAAAACTGGTGATACTAACATGTTATGTTGAGTTGTGGTGGGTTAACAGACAGACACATGTTGCTATTCCTCCCGCCTCTAACATTAAAATATAAAAATTAAAGAGAAAATGTTTTTTTTTTTTTATAAATATAGATTTTAATGAACTGTCTAGAAATGCATTTTTGCAGCCATAGTAACCTGTAAAATACATTGTTATATTATGATTTTTCTGATATTGTATTTAGGTATATAAGAAACGATAGGTTTTCTTAGTTGAAATGTTGTTGAGAAATCATTTTTCAGAAGATGTTCCATCAATTACAGCATAAAGTTGGACCAAGATTTGAAATAATCGTGTAAAACCAGAACATGTCCCAAACATCAGCAAAGTGCTCTAGCGGCAAACTGAAATGCTGCGGCTTCACTGTGAGTCCTCCCGGTCTGCGCTCCTCTCACAACTCCTCTGCTCAAGATTCACGTGTTGAGCAATCAGCCTCCAGCTATATTCACACAATAACAGTGTGTCTAATGTCTCCACGTTGCCTTTAAACCATTTTGTTATGGCCGTCTCAACGTAATGGAGCCCAGCAAACACCGAGATGAAAAGGCTTCTCGAGCATGGCTAAATGCTTTTATTCCCGCGGTCGGCAAAGGGAGGGTGGGGTGCGAGGAAAGGTGGTGCGGGGCGGCAGCAGAAGCCGGGCAGCCGACAAAGCAGCTACCTTGAACTGATGGGTTAGCCAGGCGGTTGATGTATTCTGACAGACACAGGCAAGCGAGAGCATCGTGCAATTTATCAAAAAGCTGTGTCTTTCCCCCCGTCAATACCTGACAAGCGTGTCCGCAGCTATGAAAGGCCAGATAACTAGAAAATCTGTCAGTGGCTGCAAAGTCAATGTGAAGGGGACATAGCGTATGTCTCTTCAGGGACACGCAGGTGGGTCTCGGGGGACAAATATTACGAGATCAGCTGTGTGGAACAGTTAGAAACCATGTCAAACACCTTTTCCACATTCTTTATACTGCGAATTAACATATGAGTATGTTACACCTACTTACTGAAACTCGCTTTTATGTTTACATTTTTTAACCCTTCTTCTGTTCTTTCTGCACCTGCTCTCCTTGACCTCCACTTTCCCGCCTTTTTCTATCTCCTCCCCACCCTGTTACGCAAGCCATCAATCCTGCTGACATTATCAGTGTTTAACAGGCCGTCAGGCTTCATGCTAGTTATCATAACGGGTCCTCTATATGGGTATATGTATGTATGTATGTACGTGTGTGTGTGTGTGTGTGTGTGTGTGTGTGTATATGTATAGCATCCCCAATAAAACCTGCTCTCTAAGGAGACATCGACGATGAAAGGCAGACTGGCGTGCAGGAGAACATAAACCTGTAAGGTCGCACATTTAAGCTTGCCTGTATTGAAAGAGTCGGCCTTTTTCTGCAGAGACAGAAGTATGTTTTTCCTCACATGAACCAAAGATGGCCCAATAAACACTTGAAAAGATGTGTCTCGAAATTGAAGATATCATTTGCGATGCGAAGTATGTCGAAACATGGTTTGGAAATTGATTCTAGGAGGTGAAATGGGTTTGGGTTTGCTACACTTTTGCAAGCTACCGACTGAACTGCTGGTCTCAGATTATCACATTTCAGGCATTCAAACAAGAAAAGAAAAAGAGCACACGGGAAGAAATGTCAAGACAAAGGGGAAAATTTCTTAGAGCTGTAAGAGTATAAGAAATTGATTAAAGTCTGATGTTCATTCGAGAAACCGCACAGGGGGTTTGAGTACATAACTATTTGTGATGGTCTTCATTCACAGCTCCTGGAAGACAATTTATTGTGTGACCTGCTGATGAGTAATGACAAACTCTCCCAGCTGCACGTGCCCGACTCCACCTGCAAGTGGATCACAGACTTCCTGTCTGACGGGAAGCAGCACGTGAAGCTGGGGAAACATGTCTCCGCCTCTCGGACCATCAGCACCGGTTCCCCCCAAGGCTGCGTTCTCTCCCCTCTGCTCTTCTCCCTGTACACCAACAGCAGCACCTCCAGCCACCAGTCTGTCAAGCTCCTGAAGTTCCTTCTGTTTTCTGGGCTCCATCAAGTGGGAGCTGAACATCAGCTCCATCACCCAGAAGGCTCAGCAGAGGTTGTTCTTCCTGAGGCAGCTGAAGAAATTCAACCTGCCAAAGACGATGATGGTGCACTTCTACACGGCCATGGAGTCCATCCTCTGCTCCTCCATCACCGTCTGGTACGCTGCAGCCACAGCCAAGGACAAGGGCAGGCTGCAGCGTGTCATCCGCTCTGCAGAGAGGGTGATCGGCTGCACGACTTGTTTGCTTCTAGGACCCTGAAGAGAGCTAAAAAGATCGTAGCCGACCCCTCTCACCCCGGAAAAAAACAGTTTGCCAGTGCGCCCCTTCCATCTGGCAGGAGAATGAGGTCCGTCAGGACTAAGACCTGCCGCCACACGAACAGTTTCTTCCCGTCGGCAGTCGGGCTCATCAACAGAGCCCGGTCCCCCACTGACTGACGTCATTCCACCGGTCACTCCCCTTCACACTCCACATGCACTTTCACTTGTCACTTTCTGCTCGCTGATGCACTTTATTTTTAACTTTTTATTTTTAACTTTTTATTTTTAACGTTTTATTTTATGTTGTCTTATCTGTCTTGTTGTCCATTGTCTTACTGTCTGATGTTATGCACCAACCGCCAAGTCAGATTCCTTGTATTTCTGACATATTTTGGTAATAAATGTTGATTCCTGATTCCTAAATAGCTTAAGACATGTCATTGTGTTATTAAGTATTTGGTGCTGCATGTTTGGCACTAGGTCTCATTTCATTCTACATATCTTTGCACTGTTGCACTGAAGATGTGTTGAACATTTTGATGTGATAAATGTTTCCGTGGTTTAATAAGTAAGCTGTGGACCTTAAAGCTATTTCCTGTATTTTTTATTTATATTTGTTTTTAAGATGGATCTGATACTTTTAAATATTAAATATTTCATTCCCATTTCTGCCAGAAAATAAAAAAGAAAGCAGATGCTATTTTTGTACACATCTATCTATATATCGGTGACAGCTGTCAGTCATATGATGTCTGCTTCATTAGTTGGCATTCATTCCATCCACTCCCATTATAGATTTGTTTTTCTGGTGTTTTTTTTGTAAAATGACAAATTACCTGAGAGAATGACATTTAGGAAAAAATATTTCCAGAGGAGGATTTTTTGACCTCTAGAGCCACCATGTGGCGGTAAACGGTACATCTACACAATCACGGGTAAAACAAATGACCAAACAGACCAACCGTAAAAAACACTGAAGTAGAAAACAACAAAAAAACATATCTAGCATTTATAATGAACTGCCAATTATTTCTGCCCCTGAAACCATTGTGTGTGTGTGTGACATGTTCACACATCTTTAACTTCCACCAATTAGGGTAAAACCCTCTAATAAAAAGCACCAGATGATTTGGAAGCGAGTCATTTTGTTTAACAGCGAGGGGGAAATCAGAAAGGGGCAGAACCCATGCTGACCTTCACAATACACAAGGCCGGCAATTAGTAGTGTGCCCGCCGTGAGCAGGCTGCCTCCTCTCCGTCAAAAGGAACCTAATACCATCACTCACTGCACAGACTGGATTTCTGTGGCACATAAAGGTCACCTTTCAGAGCGGCAGCAGTGAGAGCATAGAGACCAAGAGATAATTAAGGAAATTGTCATAATTAAATGTGAGGAGGACGAGGTGACTTGGGAGGTTGTTGCCAACAAGTTGAAACGCAAGATGCTGTGACTCAGCACAACTGTCCCTGCAGCCAGTGCCGAGAAAATATTAATAAGACCGTGCTGGTCATTTTTAGTTGGGTTGGCTGCATGTCTCCATGATTTAAAGATAGAGAGTAGATTTAGCTCATGGCATCAAATTAAGTCAACGTTGGTTATGGTTTCTATCTTTTTCCATGAATTTCTTAGGGAATGAGTGAAGTGGTGCTTTGGTTTACGGGGCCCCTGCAGAGCTACGCATATTAATGTCGGCACTGGTAATTAGGGCCCGAGGATTACAAGTCTTCGGCCTTCATGGCCTCTTCTGCACGAGACACACGACAATATTTTATAGCAACCACTAAATCACTAAGAATTAAGCCGGTGGAGAACAACAGCATCCGTCCTGCACTGCTGGTCGTCGGCAGAGATCAGATCACGCTCACTCTGGTCTGTTCGAGTTGACAGCTCCTGACAGCTTAAGCGCCATTTGTATCTGGAAGGGCTCAATCATTCAAACAGGGGTGTGTTTCCATCCGAGCCCAAAGCGAGGTTTTTTTCTTTGTCTAGATGAGATCATGTCACACCGAGGGACGGAGAAGAGTGTCCCCGCTCAGCCTCCCTCCTCCAGGATCGGGACGTCTCAGTCAGCGACGGGGCTCAGGGAGCATGTGTTGTACCTTTGCAGTGACAGTGTAATTAACCTCTCGGGGTGTTTGCAGGAAGGGTTCAGAGCAAGACCCCGGTGTACCTGTCGGTCCCCGATGGTTACGGCTGGCAGCGGACACCGGGTCGACGAAGAGCATCACCAAGGCAACGAGGAAGGCCACCTGCACGGGCCAAGCTGACCTCCCCCACAGATTCATCCTGAGAGAGGGAAAGAGGAGAGTGAGGTTCAAAGAGGAAGCCAAGGGAAGAGAGGAGGAAGAGGCCATGAGAAGATTTAACAACCCCCCCCCCCCCCCCCTCACTCTCCTCCTTCCCCCCATAGGTCAATAAGAAAAAGCGACAAGAGGCAAAAGAGCACAGCAAACAGAAGACATTGCTTTTCAAACAAGCTGAAACAATGTAAAAGGTCAAAGAAAAGAAGGACAACTTTGAGAACAGAAAAGAGCTGAGAAGAATATTCCTGCAGCCAGCACAGACACACATGATGTGGGTAGAGCTAACTCACCAGCGGCACAATGACAGGATGTTACCAGCATCCTTTTATGCCTATTAGTATCATATAAGGATTAACTCCTCCAATTTCCCTCTGGCGGCAGACAATTACAAAAAAGTCGACTTTATGAGTCACGATAGGTTACAAAGAAACATGAGGCTCAGAAAGCTCAGCTCAGAAATTGAAATATTTGGGTTAGGGCTGCTACTAACTACATTATATTTCATCATTGATCATTCTGCAATTTATTTTTTTGACGTATCGTTTGTGTGTAAAAAAGATTTAAAAAATCATCCATCACATGACTTTCCCCGAGGGGACGTCTGTAAATTGGTTTGTTTGACCTACCTCCCAAAACAATGTCAGCATATCACTGAAGTGATGAACTATAAATTATCAAAATATTAATTTAATAAATTGTTTCAGGTCTATTGCGATTCGGAAGTTACTATTAAGCATTTAAGTTATTCTTAAATGAATATTGCATAACTGACGGTTATCAATCCTAAAGTGGGAATATTTGCTGCTTTTATATCCTTGCGCCTGTTGCTTGGAGAAAAACAAGCTATTTGAAGATCAAGCCTGCACCTTTACTCTTTTCCTAACATTTCATCACCCAAACAATGAACCCTTTCAGAAAGAAATGACTTATTAATTGATAATGAAAGTATGATGAGGCAGTAAATGTTTTTTCTTGTGTGCCTCTGCTCTGCATGCCGTCTCACCTGTTGGCTGTCTCTGTCTTCCACTGAGTAGATCCTCTATGGACAGGCTACACAGGCCATGGCTGCATACACTCACACCCTGGCTCCCCTCCTCCTCTTCCTCCTGCTGCTTCTCCTCTTCCTCGCCTCAAACAGAAGAAGACCCTGGAGAGAGGAGGTACAAAGACACCCGGTCAGAGAGGCCAGCCTGCCTTGGGGTTCCTCAGTGGCCTCCAATGGCCTTGTATGAAGGTCTACACAAAAACACACACACACATGCACGAGTTAGAGATGTGAAGGTCTAGATTCTGTTAGATCCATTGTTTACAATAGGTTCACCTACCCTCAGGCCAAATGTGATCCCCACTCTAAGTCACACACCCTCATGCGCACACTCCCCCATTCTGTGTCGTGATTGCACACTCGGATGAACACACTAACACATTGTAATCAACAGAAGAAAACTTTAATTGATATGAATACATGTAACACACACTTGCAGAAAAGCTTTGTAGCTGAAACATTAAACAGCAGCAGATCAGATGATTAAACAAGCCATAAGGACGTTCCACACACACACACACACACACACACACACACACACACACACGCACACACACAGTGAGTACATTTGCAGTGTTTGCGAGGTAAATTAAAACAGTGCTGAAGGACAGCAGGAGAGACTCTCCCTAATTACAGCTGAGTGACAGCTTCTGGTGTGTGTGTCTGTGTGTGTGTGTGTGTGTGTGTGTGTGTGTGTGTGTGTGTGTGTGTGTGTGTGTGTGTGTGTGTGCACTTCTTCTCACTCTCTCTCTCTCACACAAACACACACACGCACGCACACTAACAAGTAAATTACCATGCCACCGCCGAGAATGTCAACACACCTCTCTTTACAAAAGGACGAACCCGCGGTCTAAATGAAAGACAACAGATTCACATTAATAACAAAACGTTCTCCTCTCCGAACCTTCATTATTCATCATGACTCATTGACATGCAGCTCTGTCCGCTGCAATGCTCAGAAACTTCCTGGGAATGTGTCAGTTTCATCCGAGCCCGACGCCCCGGCCGAGCCGGCGGTGTGGTGCCACTGCCCCCTGGTGGCGACCAAACCAACAGCAGCTTCCACCAACAAAGCACAAGATCCAGAAGACACACCTCAGGGTCTGGAGACCATTCTGCATGAGTGGAATTTGTGCACATGGAAAGCATATGCATGATGCATACCCGTGCCTGTCCGTGTGTGTGTGTGTGTGTGTGTGTGTGTGTGTGTGTGTGTGTGTGTGTGTGTGTGTGTGTCTGTGTGTGTGTGTGTGTGTGTGTGTGTGTGTGTGTGTGTGTGTGTGTGCGATTCACTCCAGTGCAGTAGGTGAAAGTATGCAAGGTGCATATGCCATTTGATTAAGCATTGCCGCATAGCAGCACCGTAGCCCATTGCTTATTCTCTTTTTAAAGGCCGGACCGTGGCACACATTTTTAGCAGCTTTGTTCTGCGATACACTCATTAAAAGAGCACAGTAGTGTGTGTGTGTGTGTGTGTGTGTGTGTGTGTGTGTGTGTGTGTGTGTGTGTGTGTGTATACGTGTGTGCACTCTCCAGATGCAGCTCAGTCTCGTCAGGACTTCAGGGACAAAACGTCCCATCAGTCACAGCGGCAGCGCTGTCACCTCCCCCCGCGTCTCACACATACAAACAAAGTGATACAAATCAACAACAATCTCTGCTGATGCGCATGAATCAGATACAATCTCACACGAAACATCCATGTAACCAAAAAGTCTCAAGCGTCCCCAGGGCAGAATGTTGGTGGAAGCAGAGGTGTGTGTGTGTGGGGGGCTGGTCATCACTGCTGTGAAGAGCTGTTGGATTTGGTCGGCAGTAGTGTGCACACACACGCACAAGCATTAACAAACAGAGCACAGACATGCTCAAGATTATCCGGGAACATCAAGTCTCGCTCTTTCTAAAATGATCCCTCCTCCTCCTTTGACCCAGTCGCCCCCTCATCTGTGTGTGTGTGTGTGTGTGTGTGTGTGTCCCTGTGGGCATGAAGGGCTGATTTGTGTCATTCCTTGGAGTAATCACACAGGAGTGACACTGGCGCTCATTGACATGCAACCAGACAATCCCACCTCGGCCACAAATACATCTGTGTGCCCTGCATCCAAACAGCATCATCACCCGGCACTCAGCGAGCGCACATGCACGGCCACAAACATGCGCGCACAAAACGGCAAATTTGACGATTTGATACTCACAGACGCTCTGTGACCTAACCCCGTCACAGTAGAAAACATGTGTGCACGCTCTGCACCAAGTGTGAAGCAGTGAGCCGCTTTCTGCGTGACGGGGGATGTTGCTGACACTTTTGTTTGCTGCGTTGCATCACTTGTCGGGACGGTACAGGAGGTTTACTGAGGAAGGACTGACCTTCTGCGAAGAGGAGAAACAGCAACATCACTTGATAAACTCCGTGCCGCCTGTTCAGCGAGTGACAGTGTGAGTCACTGGGCTTCATTTAATATCCCTGCCTTGTTTTTCTTAAATCAATACGTTATCTCTAATTAAATAAATTGCTGTTTATCAGACTTTATTTAAGACTTTGACAAATGTATTCTGGTTCAGTATATATATATATATATATATATATATATATATATATATATATATATATATATATATATATTCCAGGCATTAATCTGGGATTGATTTAGCCTCACAGGCCACCTCAGGTTGATGATGTTGGCTATTAGGTCGATTCATTCGACACTTTGGGCCACAGAAAAGGGTTTTTTTTAACAACTGCTCGCTAAACCGTCTTCACTTCTTAAGGTCCTTCAGAAGCTCCAGGACGATGACTGTGGTGACCTCTGTTATTTTGTCTACTCAAGGTTAAAAAAAGAAAAAAGGAAGACTACTGGTGACACTGTGAGCTTTCTGATTGTCTTACGTTCACTGTTCGATGACATAACAAAGTCTAAAAAAGCAGGAAAAAGACGACTTGATAAATTAAGCATATGTATACTCATAGTTAGGGTATTTTAAATATGTGATGACTCTGGTGTTTGTGTGTTCTGAGGGAGAGAAAGCAGTCTGAAAAACTTCAATTTCCTTTGTACATTAAATATACATTAGCAAAATATATACACTTTTAGCAAATTTTAGCAAAGGATTTCTTGTTTGGTCCAGAATTTTATTTCACCACCACGGGACAGATGGAGAGGATCATCTGCCGTAACAGCAGCTCACTCTGACAACATCAGTTGGTCTGTGTTTTGCGCAAATGATTGATGTGGCCAGAAGGCTGATTTTGAGGGTGCCTTTTTACACGGACAACAATAATTCTAAGTAATGAATATTAACGGTTTATTTGGAAAAACTTTCGCAATTAATACAGTTAAATAAATCTAAACAAATGTCTGGATCCGAAACCCTGAAACAAGTGATTTAATTTGTGTTTTGATCACACAGGTTTTGATTAAGCTCCAGTCTGCATGCGTGAAAAACCGAAAGGCATTGAGATTGGAGATCACACGAGCATCACGGCCGCATCTCTGTACGCCGATTCTTCTGTGCCCAGACGCAGGCGGAGCAGACAAAAAGGCATATCAGTGTGAAACAAAGTGCACATCCCTAAGGCAGAAAGATATTCTAAATGAAACGGACAAAAGGCACAAAGCCCAACGGAACGTCACGTGAAGCGTTTCAGATTCCCCCCGATATGCAGAGTATTAACATTCAGTGAGGAATGTGTATAGTTGTGCTGCTATAAATTTGTCTGAATCAGACTTTCATCCAGTACAGCAGGCTGCTCACTGCGAAATATTCTGCATGTACTCTCATACACACTGTATATATTTAAATAGTACATAAATGGCATTAAGTGCAATATATGTGTAGAACAACGCTGATATCACACAGTTTTATAATAATAATAATACTATTCATGAAATAAATAGTATTAGTGAAATATGAAATAATAATACTGATAACACACTAAAACATGTTGTATTATAATACTTGTTTCTGTCAGACGTGCCACAAATATATACTTTCAAACTAGCATGAACAAATATTTAGGTGTAGAAACCATATCTCTTAAATTTCTTTAGGCAGTGAAAGGTCAGAAGTCATGGGAGAGACACAAAATAACATTGCGCCTGTTTATTGCCGTGCGTCTATACTCCCCCACCCGTATTGCTTCCTCCAATAAAGCAACAAGCAATAAAGTGGACGACCCCGTGTTTGGTGGAATGGCCAGGTGGGGAGACGGAGAGAAGAGCAGATGTGAGAGAAAGTCGGACTTCGGGGCCGTTACCCGAGTCTGGTATTGACTGCAGGAGTTCAGAGAATGGCCGTGGCGCTACGGCACCATTACAGCTCAATTGATCGGCCTGCACTTAAATCCAAATCCCACCTTGCTGCACAAGCCGTCATGTCAGGATCCGGCGACCAAAAGTGTGTTTTCTCAGGACTCCTCTGGCATTCTTTCACTCTTCCTCCCCGTCCCCTGGAGTATTTGTTTCAGATGAGGCCCTTGGTTGTTTTAATGCAACGGGAGAAAAACACGGCCGCTAACAGGCTGATAAATATTAGGTCTGCGGCCGGGGCCCAGTTCCTGGCTTCCTCTTCATAACCGTCTGGGTTTTAAGGCAGCATCGGGCGGCGTAGATCAGAGAAACCCTCCTCAGAGCCGCTAACAGACAGGGGCAGCGCCCGCGCTGTAAATCCGGCACACTCTAATAAAGCAATAAAGGGCCATTAAAAGTCAGTGTCCCTCAGCACTGGAAGATGGATGGAAGGGTGGAAAGTAAAGGAGACTCACACACACACACACACACCGTAGCAGGTTTCTTTCCTCCTCCTGTGCTCTGACAATGTTGTTACTCCTCTTTTATCCGTGCTGACTGCAGCTCACTTTTGGGATGAAAAAAATAAAAATAAAAATAGAAGAAAAGTAAACAGTGTGATTTAGAGAAGTGAGGTGAAATCTCTATGTACTGTTCCGTTCACTCAGTAATCTTTCTGTTTACGCCACTGATCTGCCTTCCTCCCTACGAGGACTATGGCAGCGTTTCCTTCTACAACGAGGTAAAAACCAGTCCAGATTTCATACACACCATCCAACACAAATGCAAATGGGACGTTCCTGGCTTACCTTA